AACCGACTGCGCCACCCAGGCGCCCCAAACATCCTCTTATTAATGAGAAATCTAAACTGACACCCAGTTGGGGATTGCAGTATTTACACAGTTTATCATGCCAATGATGTTTTGGTTTCACAAAGATGAAAAGCTCAGAGGTAGGCAATGCTTCAACCAAGTAAAACCATAAAAATATATTTTTGCTACAGTGGATACCACAATACTTTTCTATTTTTTGCCTCTTACACAACTACCATATTTGTTACATCGGTGCTTAAGAGACTGGTATCACTGAGGAAACACTGATTGTAAGGGTCTGCAAAATCCTCTGATCAAAATGTGTATACTATTGCTCAACTATTCAGAATTTTGTATGTCTTTAGGTGAATACAAATTTCACTTAAATACATTGCTAAGATTTTACTTTGGGGAAAGTTTTAAATGTAAACAAATGACATTTATTTTCATGTTCTTTAAAAAACAATTAACCAGACCTTAAGTATTTTTCCTCACATGCTCCCTTGAAACATACATATATATCCACAAACATACACATTTTTCATTTACATAAACACAAAATAGTAAAATTTATGTCAGAGCATCCATAAGGCACTTTTATTTATTAGAAAAATACGATTCCTCTATCATTCATGTGGTTGTCTAAATTTCTGCTGGTCACAAGATTTGTTACAATTAAAAACATCTCAAAATATGGTGAGCTCTCTCTCTACTTTTCCCTACTTCTTGAAGTTCAATTGGGGCTAGAAATAATCATGTAAAGAGTAAGAAAATCATACCAAAAGTGGATTATTCCATTTTCTTCTGCAAAGACTGCTCCACTGATAGGAACATGTGCTTACAGGCAAAAGTCTAGTTTGAGAGCAAAACATGATTTATTTTTCTACAAACTAGCCTGCGTGTTCCATTCATCAATACATGTCCTTACATGTGGAAGCCTTTCCACATGGTGCATCACTTTGCTCCGGGGGCTCTTTGGAAGTGAATCTTTCAAGTTTGTGCCCTACAGATCCCCGAAGTGTCTGGGAACTTACCCTTTGCTTTTGCCAGAGGTTTGAAAATGAAATGCTTTGGGCCTGCACAATGTTGCTATGCAATTCATTATGGGACAAAGAAACGTCTGGGGTTAGGCAGGCAAGCAACTAATGATCCTTCATTTTGTCCAGAAAACATCAAGATCGATATGTAGGACATGCAACATTTATGGAACACTGTGTTTTCTTTTCCCTCTAGGGGAAGGAAAAAATACTAGATGATCACTTTCTGCAAGATGGCTACATGATCGACGCTGGCCTCTCCTTCCTACCTGCTAGTAGCAATGCAGCCACCTGATCTTTGTTAATTTCCTGTACTGTATATACCAGAATTTAAATAACTTGATTTTTTGGCATGTATAGTTTGCTTCATTGATCCAGGTAACCAAAATCTGGAGACAATGTCATAATCCCAAGTGAACAGAACTGGTTGAAGGCTCTCATATGCATCAACGATCCGTGATGTATTCATTTAAATTAGATCTTTTTATGAACAAAACAGAGGAGCCCAGAGAGAGAAAGCATGAACCAAAAGAAGATAACTGCAGTTTCCTTCCAACTCACATAATCTGTCAGCAGGAATCAAAATTAAATACCATCATAAATCATAGTTAATGAATAAACTGTTTCTAGACTGACAAATCAAAATGGAAGCAGCAACATAAATGTGGTCAATGTTATATGTCCTTGCGAATATCCGTAATGTTTTTAGAATTTGAAAATCAGAGTGATGCCAGCGTTTTGGGTTGAATTGGATTTGTTTCTTAATCTCTTATAGAAATGACCCAGTAGGGGATTTGGAAACTAGAGGATCATCTCAGGAAAATAATTAACTTTGTATCTCCTTTAAGAGAAATCATCGTCAAGGGTAACAGAAACCAATATGGCACAGTATTTGCCCAGTGACGTGTAGACATTTCCCCAAGTCATTCCTAAACAGAGAAGTAAAGAATACAAATTTGGTACCAATTGTTTTCTATTTGTTTACAGTAAGATAAAAGCAGGGGTCTAGTATAGGATGATTGACTTAACATGAAATCCTTTCTATAGCTTTCTTAGGGCCTGAGAGTCTCAGGTGACTATTGGATCTTTGTGGGGCCATCAATCACACATCCTTAAAGCATTACATTGAAAGCATCAACGTGGGTTCCATAAAACCACAAACTTTTAAATTCAAAGATACCAAATCTTGATAATGTAGAACACTGAGATTTTTCTAATTTTGTGAATTCTACTTTAGTTGCAGATGGGCCAGATCACTTATAGGTGGTTTTAATTAGTACACCCACAAGCAAGGACAGTCTCTCTAAAGCTATGTTAGGATTTAGAAAGTTAGGAAAGTGGTCATTTCTTTTGAAAATATCAAAGGAATCATTTCCAATTTGATATCAGGGTTCATAGTGACATCCCACTTGCAGTCTTCAAGATGGAATAGAAAATTGGATGAAGATATGAGTTTTTGAAAATAACACTTCAATCATCCACAACAAATAAGCAGTGAGGACCAATAAAGGCAAACAGCATACACTCATGTTTGATTTTACCCAGTTTGACTTTTATAATAATTGACCCAATGAGGGCATTTTACTCCTGGACTTAAGAAAATACCCACATTTTGCATTATGTCTTATTTTATTCCATATCAAACTTAAATACCAAAGATGAAGTATCTTCTGTTAGTGTTTGAAACCTTTATTACACTTTGTTTGACTCCCAATGCATAAATAACCAAATTCAAGTACTAATGATGATTAATGTCATATATCTAATTCTATTACGTGGACTACAAATCTCAGAAGCATAAACTTGTATCTTTAAGAGTTTTATAACTGAGCACAATTATTTTGCCTCTTGTGTTCCCATGAGATAAAAGTGAGTGAGAAACTCATAACCAAGTTCTTGCTATTCACAATGTTTCCATTGGGTGTAGCTATGATATTAGACAGGTTGATATCACAGCCTGCGTATTCAGGAAGGATGCCCAGACATTGGGGGATTTATAGTGACTTTCTTTGTCTGTATCATTAAATTCTATTAGTCAGCTATGTTCTATGGGGAAAACCAAATAATACAGTTTCAGATTAATCAAGTCAAGAAGGATTTCAATGTCTTTTTCTGAAAATGAAGAAATCTAAAAAAAAAAAAAAACCCTGAGATGTGATAAAACTTGAGTCAACAATAATTTCTACATAATTTGCTTATTCTTAATTTTTATATAACCATCTAACTCACACTTAGTTTAAATGCCTCCTTAGAGATAGGCATCTGTTGGATAAAGTGGATAAATAAGGGGAGAATCTTCTAACAATGCAACCCCTTTATTCAATGATGGGTCTGAGTAGTGTCTTAAATTGCCTTTTATGCTAAAAGGAAAAAAAAAGAAAGTATTTCTCCTCAAATGCAAGGGCAGCTTACATGCTGAGATGAAAACTGCTAACTCTTTTCTTAACAACACCATATGTCTCCAATTGGATCATAATGCAGTTGGTTCTCAAGGGAACGTTATGCATGGAAGCTAACCAGATCGAGCCACAGGCTTAGCTAGCTGTGTGTGCACTCTCTGATTAACCAGGAGATGCGACTTTGGATTTTCCAGATTATCTAAGTGAGTGTCTGAAGGGCCTTTCTCCTTTCCCAACACCCTCCCCAAATGAACCCTGACTCGCATCCCTCTACAAAAATATTTCTCTTTTTGTTCAGATTTCCTCTTCTGTGTAACCTCAATACATTTTAAGGAACTGAAATGTTCAACCCCTGAACTCTCTAACCATGGGTTTTAAATAGTGAATACATTACATAGCAAACATTATAGAAGCCCAGCATAAAAAAATCAAAAGGAAACAATTATAAGACTGAAGAGGTCACATTTCCCCCCTGAGAATCACCAAAAACAAAAGAGCAACCAATAGACCAATATGCATTACTCAGACATTTCTTTATCTACTTATTATAATTCTTTCTTTTTAGCCCTATGTTCAATCTCTAATATTTTTATGCATGAGTAAGATATATTTTAAATTTACTTGTTATTAAACACTTGCCATATATACTACTGGCAGGTTAATATCAGGTTGAGGCATTGCTAGCTTAAGTCCTAACACATAGGATGTATTCAATGCTTTATACTGAGTGTAATCTTTTAAAGCATAAATGTATATCATCTTATGATGTACATAAAAGCTTAAGAATTTTGCCATGGCCAATGTGAAATGCCCTGGCAGAGTCAAGATTGGTGCTTCTCAAACTATCTCTGATGAAGGGACAATTTAAAAAAAAATTCAAAATGTCAGTAACTTGATATGTTTTTAAATATGAGATTATGCATTCAGATTTCATGGCAATGTCAAATTGTTACAAAAGTTTCTAAATGCTTACTCTCCCTTTCTCTACCCTTCTTGTGATGAACCGGTAGGAAATGTCTGGATACTGGCATCAGTCTGTGTACTCCACGGTGACTATCACTGTTGAGATACTATTGACTATTGAGATACTATTGAGATACTATTGACATTGTTGAGATACTATTGAGATACTATTGATACTATTGATCATATTGATGATCAATAGAAATCATATTGATACTATTGATCAATAGAAATCATATTGATACATATTGATACTATTGATCATATTGATGATCAATAGAAATCAAGATACCCACATGAATGACAGGAGTCCCAAACTGCCTTCACTTGAAGTGCATTTTACACTCTGATTTGCTGTGTTTTTCTTCTAATTCACTGTAGGCAATCATCAGCAGAGATTCCAAAGAAAGGCCAGAGAAGAAACACCAAGAAGGCTTTGGTAGTTTTGAGAAGAGGAGTTGCTACATACTATTAAAAAACACACAGTTACCAAAGCAACCTTTCCTTTCCAGTGACCAACCAAGGGCTTTCCCATGTACTCCTTCTAACAATAACAATAAGCCTAGACACAATTGCATGATTACTTAATGGTATTTCTTACCTGGGATGCCTGGTGGTGTTTTCAGATATTTTCCATTAAAATGTTGAATTACCACTTCACATTTTTCAGTAGACTCCATTCTGGAAAAAGAGGTAAACAGGAGATCATATACTTTCATACAGTTGTGCATGTTCCGGAAGAGTACATAAAAATGAAAAGGAAAATAGGCAAGCTGTGGAAAAGCTTGATTTGAGAATTCTACCGGAAGGGTCACCGTGACCACCATGATTAGGTGACAGAGTATCACAAACTCGCCACTGCTGAGACTATGATTTACTGCACTGAAAGTTGCCTCGGTGGATGGCTCTGTGCGGAGTTCTCTCCCAGAGGTGATACTGAGGCAGTATCTTATGTAACCCACAGAACACTGTCTGACAATTGAAAGTGCTGTAAATATCTGTGGAATGTCTGAGTTAGCAAACCTGAAAGGTAGGTCTTTTGGTTCTTCACAGAGAAGGCTCTGAGGCTTACATAGATGAACTACCTTGCCAATAAGGGGCAGAGTTGAGATTTTAACTAAGGCTTGTCTAACACCGAAGCTGAACTGCAGCTACTAAGCAACTGTGCTGAGGACTCCACAAAACGAGTTGACGACATGTGCTGTATTTCCACCGCCTGCAGTGTAGAGCGATGATTAATACGGTGGTATTATCAGCATCTTTGACGCTTTTATTGAAGATGCACTGGGTGAAGGTACAAAAGGCAATCATTAGGTGCCTGGAATGTGAGAGGAGAACATAAACACGTAAACTTCAGGTCCTGAACTTCCTTCATTTTGAATTTTGGAAAGTCCTCTATTTTCTCATGCTAGATATCGCGATCCCTAAACTAGGTTTCTGGGGCCAAATGTTGCCATCTCACTTGCAAGCTAATGACTGAGCATTTTGAACTCTACCACCCTAATGTCAATATTGGCAGGGTTGCCCTATCCTAAGTAGACTCGGATTGGCAACATTTTCTAAATAATTAACTATAGTTGGGCTTTATTATTTTATGACAGTGGATGGGGAAGATAAAAATTAAAGGGCTGGTTCTGATTAAAGCAAATTAAATCCCCCAAACAGTACACTAGAGGCAAATACAAATTTGAAAAGCAGATCACACACATATGAAAGATGTGTATGAAATGTGTGAAATTTGTCTAAAAGGCACAGTATAATTTTGGATTTTATGCTATTATTCATATGAGCTTTCTTCAAATGGAGCCCTTTAGCTCAAGTTATAAAACTTTCCTATACCTAAATTTTCAGTGTGTTTTCAGGAGCATGTTGCATGCAGAGGAAACAAGATAAGGAAAAAAATATGCAAGCAAATGCCAAATAAGTTATACAATTATTATAGTTACAGGAATTCAAGTGTGAGAGGAATTCCAGAAACCAGGGAAACACTGAGAAGTGGGCACAGAACGCCAAAAGGGCCCTTCGAGAATGAGGGCAGGGGGCTCACCTGACCCTGCGTCCTTTTAGAGAAGGTGAGGTAAACAGAACACCGTGCCTGAGTGGAAGGTTCCAGGGGCGTGAGGACACCAAACTCTCAGAGATAAGCTCAGAGATGCAGACAGAACATCTGAATTTTCAGGTTAAAGAATTCTAGATAGTATCAGGAGCATGTTCCAATGGGGGGGCTATAATTATTTTCTGATTCAAAATTAAAAAAAGATCTTTTCTGACATACATTCCTATGAGGCATGGGATGGAGGCACATTTTTCTGTATTGATACACATGGCAAATCTCCACCTACCAAGCAACAATGACTTCCCAGGTATGAGATGAGTACAGAACGACAGAGCCAAAAATTTAGAAGAAGACTGTACTTGGTTTAAAACTCTGCTGGCACCATCTTGGAATTCTTAGTGACTTTCTAATTAGGGGTCTTGCATTTTTATCTTTCCCTGGGTCCTACAAATTATGTAGCTGGTCATGGTATGACAAGAAAGTACAGGAAACCAATCTGACTCATTAGAAAGTGCAGGAAACAAATAGGTTATTATTCATTTATCAAATGGTCCAATGGTTCCACATAGGCGTGATTTTATAGAACATCTGAAGAATGAATCAATTTTATGACTCTTCAAGCTTAATAATCTACAATTTTCATAAATAAAATAAAAACAAAGAGAGCATTTTATTTACTGCTTAATCACAACTTCCCCCAAATCAGATGATATTTGGGGTTAGGAAAACAAGATGAATCTTTCTCCATTCCAAATATTTAGGAATAGCTAAGTACAATTTTCCTAACTCCTTCAAGGTTTTCTTTTGGTGGAATCTTTTACAGTAAATCTTCCAACTTGTTATTGTTATCATTATTATTATTATTATTTTGGAAGTAGGAAACTTCCATTTCTAGGAACAAAAGAATTCTAATTTTGCTCTTTCTATCTTCCCACAGGATCTACTCTCTATTGTCTCTTAGGAACAATAACCTTCCCTCCTACCAGAGACATGAATGGGAGAGGAAATGTAAGCCCTTAATTACTACAGATGTTACTTTATGGAATTTTTATTCCAGGAGAGCTACAGAATGAAAAGCTTATACCCTAGAGCCCCCTCCCTGCTCAGTCTCTCTCTGGATACTCATCTAGATAAAAGGCAGTTAAGAATCTAAAGCTTGGTTGCATGAGTCCTACAAATCAAATCCTTTCTCTTTGTCTTAAAATGACATGGAATTCTAAATGAAGACTAAACTAGATTGGGGTGTGTGTGTGTGTGTGTGTGTGTGTGTGTGTGTGTGCGCGCGCACAGGCTTGTTAATTCTATTTAATGTGTTTTAGGAAATACAGAGGAAGCCAAAGTAGAAAATCAGGTGGCTCACCCACTCTACCCCCCTAAAATATTTTTGCTCTGGATTGAAAGCCTCAAGTCTTCCCTTTTAGATTCTAAGTATGATCATCTTTTCTTAAGACTATTTTACAGCCATATCAAGCCGGATGGGGGCTGTTTCTGGTAACACAAAGACAGCGGCGTAGATTGTTCACTTTGGCTTCATTCAGATTTAACTAAGTGAATGTCTGCAGTGAGCCTTTAGAGACTCTCGTCTCTGAAAGAATAAATGCAATAAAAGTCTGTTTTCTGTAGCTGCCGGCGCTTAGTGTCAAACCATGTTATGCTGCACCACCCAGCAGTGACAGTTTCATTTTAATACACGGGGCACATTTTAACAAGGCAAAGCAGTCCCAGCAAAGGTGCAGATAGAGGAGCTATCAAGGGAAAGGCTCAGTGTTCCTCTTGCATTTTATGTGGGAACAGAACAAAAGTGAGGCTGGAGCTCTAGGGGGGAAGATACTGCATTTGAATAGCCACCTTTGGAAGAATGTGTCCATTCTCTTCGCAAGTTCACAATTAGCCACTTTGAAATGCCAGCTCAAGCTATCTGCAATCTGGCCCACGCTTCAGTTGAAACTGACACTAGCATTATGAAGTGAGTTTGAAAAGGCGGCATGCCAGACAAAGCTGCCTTTACACGTCGCTTTCAGACGGGCCACTGAATCACTACAACCACATCTATTCTTCCCAGGCGGTACCTGAACCCCCTTGAGTACCTCGGGACAGCTCGCGTGCCAGGCCAACCATTCACCCGAAGATACATTAATTAGGTTCTTACAAGGCTCCAATCATTGTATAAAGCTTCAGGGTTTTCTGTTAGGTCTGATGTTTAAATATAAATACACATTAAAGGTCCCGTTTGACATTCTTTCTTGTCTCAGTGCCTAGGAACCTGGCTTCAGTGTCATTCAAAACAAATCACAGAATTGTGATTAAAAAAAAAAAAAAAATTCTTTTTTTTTTTTTTTTTTTTTTTTTTTTTTTTTTACAACAGCTGCTAAGGGGAACCAGTTTCACAGCCAATACAATTCCCACAGGCAAATTACATCAGAGGAGAGCTTGATCCAGTATTAGTAGAACGTTCTGGGTCAGACTTAACACACCAAGGTGGAAGAGAACTTTGCAAAATCATCTGTAGCCTATCTATCTCACCTCAACAGAGCATCTCTCAGTTTATGATCTTGAAGCAATAAGCATTATTAACCATATATTTAAAACAAATCCACCCCGTCATTTATTTTGGTTAATTAGAGGTTTCCGCTATTGTGAAATTTTTGTGGTTTTGCAATCACAGGCTCTGTACAAATTATTGGCAACTTAGAATATCCAACATTGCAAGCCAGTCATCCATCTAAATCTGGTTGGAGTTGCGCAAAGGGTCAATATCAACAGATTTTTTAAAAGTACTAAAATGTGCACTCTTTCTGAGATTTCAAAAGTAAATTACATCATTTACTGCTTCGTCTATTGTAATGGAAAGAACAACAGTTGAGTCCCAGGAACAAAGATTGAGTGAATGAGCTGAATTTTCTTCTTCGTTTTTGCAATGTGTGCTCTAGTTTGTGCAATCTGTGCTCTACCTGCCAGGTGCTTGACATTCTTAGGATGCAAGTGTCATAAATGCTTAAAAACGAAGCAGAGTGGCCTCCTCCCATTGTCCTTTGCTGACACCCAGGCATTTGGGTGCTGTTTACTCAGCATTAAAACACATTCCTCTTAGGATATGAAACTATGGATAATATTTGACTAATTAAAACCCACTCTAGAGTTTTAGAATCACACAATTTCAGGACTAGAAAGAGCCATGGATATCAACTTCTAAATTGTACAGATGAAGAAACTACTACTAGTTGCCTTTTCTAAAGAGTAGTCAGTGGATGAGCCTGAAACAGAATCTTTGTCTCTTGACTCTCAGTTCAGATGGCTTACCTGGGAGACGTGGAGCTCCATTGCTGGCCTCCCATCATCCTTCCTGATTTCCCGTACTTGTCTACTTTAATGCGTCCTGATGCTGGAAAGATCTTGCTACCTCCATTCCATTCAACCTCTACTAACTGGCCTGTGATCTGATGTCACAAGAAGGGCACTTCACATCTTTGGGAATCTTTCCAAAAATCTATACATAGTATGGATACTATCATGAGAAAAACATCAGATAAACCCAGATCTGGAGACATTCCCCAGAATACCTGGCTAGTACTACTTAGGAAAAACAAGGAAAGTCTGAAATTGTCACAAACCTCAGCTGAGTGAT